GGGCCGAATTATGCAGTTTCTGACATGCGGTAGCCAATCCAGCCACCGACTTCGCGAGCTGCGATAAACCGCACCCACAAACAGTTCACTCTGTCTCAAGCGGAGCATGCACCACTATTGTACTGTGCAGAATCTATCGATTGCACCTGTACAACCATTAAAATAATCGTGGTCAAAATGTTACTGTTCGAAAGTCGACTTCCCTCGTATGGTTACCGCTTTGTTTCGACGTCGTAAATTAGGTCAATCGTTTCACATCGATGTCCCGTGAATGATAACCTGCTGGGTGCTTCTAGCCATCGTGCTTTCAAGGGTTTAGTTATCTTACATGCTACACCAGTATTTTGTTGGCGAGGAACCCCCATTCACTTAATATACTTTGGCTTACGTGCTTGACATCCTGTCAGGAACACCCAGTTAGTGGTCAAACAATTGGGACCATGTGATAAAGGGCGACACCAATTGTGTCCATCTGTTGGTAATCATATCACCTAAAGTGCCTACTAAGTGTGGTTCTGTTCAACGAACAGGTGCATCTGATGGCAATTGGTGATACCATTCGCCATGTCACGCACAGCTGACATATCGTTCGATTTGTATCTACTAAAATCTATGCAGTAAAATGGATGAAATGCGTTATGAACGGATGTGTAGGATGCATTGCAGTACACAAGTACTAAGGGAGGGATTTACGGTTTACTGGACTGACGCTAGAAAGAGGGTAGAAAGGGTTATGCGGAACCAATGTCCCGATAGATCGAAAGATGTAACCACTGAAGGTAGTGAGACTAGCACTCGGACCAGCGCACATGGTTCGATCAGACTTCTGTGTAAGCGCACATGTTATTTTCGATAATTCGCATCAGGCTTTTACAAGTACATGAAACTCAAACTTTTGTATATATACCCAACCGATCGTCAGTCAGCCAAATTGATTCTACTGTGCTATGACAAATACTCGGTCCGGCGCCAGTTGTAGTCGTACGCTCCCACAGGTCGACTGCAGTCCGTCCTGGCCAAGGTAGACTCAACGCGTGAGTGAATCTTTTCTGCGTGCACAGCGTTGGTTTGTACAACCGAATGGCAATGGCTGCTACGGCGTCTAATATCCGCTTACGGAAATAAGGTGATCGATTTTCTGGGGCCTGGTAGATTCCTTTGAACGAATCAGCCGGCTTGGTGGCGTGACCAGTATCCGCAAGATGCCCGGCGATTGCAGAGTTGGTGGCCTATTGACCTCCATTGCTGATCCAGGCCGAATGCGGTTCCCTTATCCTTTCGGACGAGCGTCTCCTCGGACGACGAACGTAACCCGCTCCAAAGGAACAGGTGAATGAGTAAGCACACATTGATTTGGTTTGGCCAGGCAGTTTGTCTTTGAGGTTTGGTCTCACCACTGGGCTACCGGTGAAACGGATTTGCAGCTTAGCCACTGGGAAGATATTCCTGAGTGTGAACAAGCGACAGTGGGATAGATTCTCTGAAACTCTTTCCTCTTTGTAAGGCAGTTGCAGGAAAATAGGTTTCCGTTCCGCCGTCAGAACCGTAGGTGCCACTTTGTTTCGCCCCAATTTGGCAATAATAAAACTCTCTGGGTAGCCAATATCGTTAAGCGTCGATCATACGCACTACTACTCTACGAAAAAAGCATCCTTTGAGCAGATGCATTCGGCCTGGCTCACGAGAATGAGGACCAAGTGTCTCTTAATCCAAATGGGGACACAAATCTATGAAAGTTTGTGCATTGTCCACTCGAAGTGCACTTTCGGTAAACGCGACGTTTTATTTCACCACCATCGAGTATTTTCAGAGCTGCATCGTGAAAATGAAAAGCGTTACGTAGATGACATCTTCGCTTCTGTTAAAAACGAAGAGCTTACTAGCGTATTTAACCAGGCTCACAAGTCTATGCTCTTCATCTACGAAGTAGAAGAAGAGGGCGCTTTTCACTTTCACGATGCAGCTCTGAAAATACTCGATGGTGGTGAAATACAACGTCGCGTTTACTGTAAGTGCACTTGGAGTGGACAATACACAAACTTTCATAGATTTGTGCCTCTTTGGATTAAGAGACACGTGGTCCTCAGTCTCGTGAGCCAGGCCGAAAGAATCGGCTCAAAGGATATTTTTCGAAGAGTAGCAGTGCATATGATCGACGCTTAACGATAACGGTGCACGCAGAAAAGATTCACTCACTCGTTGAGTCTACCTTGGCCAGGACGGACTGCAGTCGACCTGTGGGAGCGTACGAATACAACTGGCGCCGGACCGAGTATTTGTCATAGCACAGTAGAATTAATTTGGCTGACTGACGCTCGGTTGGGTATATATACAAAAGTTTGAGTTTCATGTACTTGTAAAAGCCTGATGCGGAATAACCAACAATAAAGCTGCGTTTACACGGAATTCTGCTCAACCAATGAGATTTTTTAAGTCAGTTTTTCCATTAGCTTTCCAACTCGTGATATATTCATTTTTCGATAAAACTTTGAACTTAATAAAGATTCATGTTTCCGGCCAACCTCCGCTATCAATTAACATTCAGCCACTTTTACCTAAAGAAGATGCATTGTTCCAGTCTAGCCTCCTAATCTACCGACGTTGGCTTTTCAACATGTTCCGTTGACGTATTCACATAATGCCGATTTGCTTGCTTATGCCTCGCTTCCAGAGTTTGCTTACTCGAAATATAATAACGGTATATAAGCAATGCTAGAATGCGCTGTTATTTCCTGGAGTCTGGCAATTAAAATTGTCTGTTGCGAAAGGCTTGTCTTTTGTCTTATTTCTCTAGGGTTTAGGTGACTGTGTGTGAAATTGCTTTCGATCTAGGAGCCCGTTCAACTTGTGCGTATTAACCGCGTTGCGCGTAGGTTTTACGGGTCGTACGAACTTTGAATTTTGTCGGCTATTTTTAATGCATGAATGTAGTTCCGAGTCACATTCATCCGTCCGGCTAGGGGAGTTGATATCAGTTCTTTATAACGGCGTCATCAAGGATGACACATAAGAAGTCAGTGAGGCAAACCAAAGATGTGGAATAGAATGACGATGATACATAAACACCTAAACTCTTGATAATCTGGTCAGTTTGTTGACTGATGTCTATGAGTTAAGACGTTTACTCTATAGAACTCGTAGACCGGATAGTGTACCTTCGGATGGATTTCATGCCCAAATATTTGGACAGAAGTTCACAGGTAGTTTAATTAACGGCTGTTACAAAACTCCATCTTGGACAGTAATCGCGAGATTGTGGAGGAACCTCTATTACATGGAAATCACCACGGGCTTTTTTGAAGGTGCTAGTTTAAATGATCACTTAACGCATGGCGGAGAGTTGTAACTGACATGTTCTGCTTGCCGCCAACCGAAGAATACATGCTGATTAAAGTGCCAATGATACGAATGTGTAATTTGCTTACCACGAACCGAAGTTAACAACACCTGTCATCATGAGTGTCCATAAATTAGTCGTGTTTAGTGTTATAAATGCCCAGGTAAAATTAGACAAACATTCCAAAATTTGTCAATTAGCAGCCACCATAATAGGACAACAAAGCAGTAATTTCAGTTCATGTTCGTCCATGGAGGTGTTCAATTACGTGCTTAAACCAAGATTGGAACAGCGATGGCCAACAGCATTTCAACATTACTATTTCGCCCAAAATTGTTACTGGACTGTAACAACCGTCTCGCAATTTGTATCTCTAGCAGCTGGAATGAATAACTATCTCAGTGAATGAGTATCTCTCTCGCATAACTGTACTCTCTGCGCGATTTTAAGCTCGTTTGCATTGTTCATGCAGATAGCAAGGCTGTGACACAAACCCTGAAACTGCGTTGTCAGTCGAAGCTTTTACACCAGTCATCGTGAAAGTAATAGCTATTTAGAACACTAAACTAGGTAAAGCTTGTAGAACCACATTGCTTTTCTGAAGCTTTTGATATCTAGCCCCATATTAAATTTCTTGCATCCGCCGGGTTTCTAAATTCCTACAAGCGTCGACCTACTTACTGGTGGTGTTAAAATTTCATACGAAGTGTGAAAGTTCTCCTACTTAATCTACTCATCTCCTAAAGATTAGGACTTACGTTTGATAAAGTGGATCGGGACATACGGAACGTAGCATATCTTACTACTTCCAAGGAGAAACATTTCCATGAATAGAATTCAGTCTCTGTCAGGAAATCGTATATGTAATCAATTGAGGTGGACCAAAAGCAAGTGCTCCTGCGCCACGAATCGGTATTATAGGAACGTTATGAAAGCCAAACAGTAATAGGCCAACGGAGGATCACGTCATTGCCCCGATGGAAGACTAACTCTTAGGGCTACAGATGTATGTGCGTCAGGAATATACACAGGTGGGCGCCACGCAACATATAGGAGTGATTTCAAAGATGGATGAAAATGTTGGCGGACAGAGTTAATGCATCGTGACAGTGCTAAAACGATAAAAGATATTGAGGACATCAAATTGGCTTCTGATACGTGAACTGTACGAGATATATTGGTTGGGATTTTCGTCATTTGCCGAGACAACCAATACAACTATACACATTTCTTCAACAACCGAAGTGCCATCCAAAGTGCGCAGTGGTAGCAATGACCGTAATATTAGCAATAGTAGTAGTAGTAGTAGTAGTAATTCGGAATGGATGTGTGAGGCCCAGTTCCTGCTATTAGCTCCGTGGCTGCGGCTGCTGCTGCTACTGCTACTACTACTATGACGTTAACCTATATGAACTGAGAAGATCTCCTATATTGTTGATGAGACCACTAAAGCAGAGTTATTTAACTCGATAAACAGAGTAGAAAGCAAAACCTAAATCGATTTACCAATATGTCAACTTAGTTCTGAACCGTAGCCTTGAGTAACACGTATCCGCTAATAGACTGGACAAAACGAGTAAGTCCGTTGTTTATAAAGCAACCCAGCGATGACGATATTCAGTGCAGGCTGTCCTTAGAAACTGGCATGGATGCACCACGTTGCTCAATTAAAACTTACCGACTGATATAATCGATTCTCTAGACTAAATTCGATGATATCTACAAGACAAACCATGACCTCGTTTGCGCCAAAAACCGTCAGTGTTTTGCTCAGCACAGTTCCCAAATGGGGGCTGTCGAATAAAGGAAATGTTGGGTCCGTATACCGATCCGCATTGACTGCAGTTGCAAGCGAAGTAAACAATGCCGCCTGAAAGAAAGTAGAATGGTAAACAGTGCATTCAAATATACTTCAGGTCACAGTACTTACGGATTTCAGCTTTCAGCTTCTCAAATTCAGTTCTCATTTTTCTCATTTGCTATGTAATCGTTTACTAATCACTAGGTGCGTTCATTAAAACATTGAGGTAGGTTAGCATATAAGTCGAGCAACCAAAATATCCAAACAACTTCTGAACCGCACATATATTTCACATAGCAGAAGCGGTAAATATTCCCCAGTTGACTGGTTATCTTCTGTTAAAATAAGGTTATTTTACGATCTGTTGTTATAACGAAAAGCTCTAAAATTTCAATAATTATCTGCTGTCCGCGGACAGCCATGCCTCAGGAATCAAGACCATTGCTCCTTCACACGTGTCATAGCCGAGGGTCGTAAGTGTTAGAAAAGGGAGCCTCACTTGTAACGGACAAACGACAGTCTGTTGGATTCCATCAATATATGTCCAAGGTCCTTACCTGTTCGTTTGTTTCAGACTGTGACTGACCTTAATCAGTTTATAGTGGAGTGAAAACTAGTCCTAGACTACCGCACCGGAAGGAAGGAATCAATGCCAGATAAAAGATAGAAATGCGCTGACTTTCAGGTGTGTTTGGACTGACTAACCAAGGATGTTTTAGCCTCCCTGACGGAATAGCCGAAGGATGATATTTCACAGTGTCGGTTCCTCGTAGCTCAAAAGTCCAATGCACACAGACAAAACAAGCTCACCACGCCGCCTCAAAAAGCAGAGCGCGCCGTTGGAGGTCGTGAAAAAGTGTATCAGAAAATCGGACAATTAAAATAACTCTACAATACCGATTGAAATAGGAAGTGCGATAAAGCGCGAAAACTGCAAAATCTATGAGCACTACAAGTTGACCTTTTACGGTTTGAATGATTAGACTATCTATCTTCTTGTTTTAAATCGCATCTGACTGAACTGCTTTTTCGGCTTTGGAACTACTTGGACTTCAGTTGATTGCAGGCATTGTGTCTTGTTTGGACGTCCGGTTTTAATTTGATAATGGGACTTTGTACATTTGTGGTGGACACTGTCAAAGTCAGTATACCATTTGTTTTCCTAACCGTTCGTAAAATTAGCACCGTAGCACACTTCCGGTCTTGACTTTTGAATATACTCAGGAATCTCAGTTGTTGCTTGAATTCTGCGCCAGTTTGACGGTTACACCACACTTCCTAATCTTGTCACCTCATTTGATTGCAAAGATTATTGCTAGATTATTGCCAATTTTATCGCTTAGCCTCCACTTACTGTTCAGCACTGGATGCTAAGGTCAAATGTGAAACGTGGGATGGAGTTAGGGAATTTGCGTTTGTACTATCCATCGGGACAATGACTATTCATGTGCAAACACCACGACCAGTTAGCCCAAGAGGTTAGCTGAATTGCATCCATTATAGCGCACTGAAGTCGTAACTTAGCAGCAGTGTTCAAACTTCTGCCTCTACCCATCTAAGATTTCTGCCTCATCACTCCAATACCATCTGATGTCCAAGTTTTGTAAGTGGATAATTTGGTAAGCAGATCCAGTCCGAAATGCGTGAATATAAAGCTTATGGAGATTAGTTTACTAGGTACACCATGGAAGTCATTTGAACACAAAATTACATCTGATGGGTGTACATTGTCTGCTTTATCTCATTATTTAATTCCATCAGCAGTTAAAGTTTACTAATCACTACGCAGTGTGACAAACTGTCTGTTTGGGGTTCTCATCCTCACAACTCACGCTTGCACCATATTTACAATTGTTTCTCCTCACCTGAAACAGATCTGATGAGAGTACTTGAAACAGTGTTGCCTTATCTTCTGGAAGCAAGTTGTGTCGGTACATAAAGCATAGCAAAACTGCGGCCAAGAGACAACGAAACGGTCCGTGACTTTCGCAGAATGCAAGGCATCGATCACAACTCTTCACGCATGAATTCAGTTGTTCTTTATATTCAGCTATATTGTTTAACCGAATCAAACGTTTTAGAGCTTCAAATCCGACTTCAGTAGCCGAACTGAAATAGAAGTATTGTACGGTGTGCTCATAAAACCCACTTGTAGTTTCCAAGCTGAACTCGGCAATAACAAATTTGAAGTAGAGCAATCCCCGCTTCGGTTCTGCGATTGCGATTTAGGTCCAAATCTAAATCAGTTTCCCTACATCATCTAACAATACCACTTACCACTTGAACACTCTAACATTTCCGCTTTTCGAGTTAAAGCCTCTTGGCAGTGTTCCAAGTGCGGTGCGTGTTCCAAAAACACTTTTGTCTTCCGTTCCTCGTGCATTTTATAAATATCTCCCATGCGTAGCTTTAAAAGAAAAGCGAAAGAGAAGCAAATCTTCTAAATCAATTGTACTTGAAGCATTTACGTGATATACTATTCGGCATCCATCTTCGGAGAGAAAAATGTTGTTGCACTAATTTTCAGTAACAAGTAAGAAGCATCCCTCCTCCTTGAAGAAAACGCTGTTTAATTCCCCTTGATGGAGGTTATACACTTGAAACGCGTGGTTTTGAGAAAATTCAATGATGTGATTAAAATGCGCATGATTATATCTGTGAAACGGCTGGGAAATTTGCTGCTATTACGAATGAGATGATGTAGCAATTTATGCCATCACAAATGATGGCGACGCTAGTAGCAGAGCTGCACGTAGTGTTATGAAGATGACTGATAGAACAGGTACGAGTCTTTAGAATATTAGGCCTAGCATTCTTTGAACGTATTAATGGTAGAACAAAAAGGCAAGTAATACGGCGCTATTAATATACAAGAGAGAAGCAATCTGATATAATTATATAAATCTACCTCTCGGCCTCTGAGTAATGCACGACATTTTGTGCAAATTTAATGTGTTTGGATGCATACAAGTGTGTTGTATTTTTAGCGTGGAATCCTGCGTTGATCTAGTAGTCTATCAATACTATTGAAGAAAATTCTTTTTTATGACAATGAGTAGCCTCCATCCACGAATATAGATGGTTAATTCTTACTTTATTCATTTGTTTAGACATCACAGCAAGAGTTTTTTGGAATATTTTTTAAACCCACATTGTAGAGAACAACCAAAACTGAACACTGTGAGAAACCTCGCTCATCCCATTTACTGGAAAATGTAGTGTTAAATTAAACGCCTGTAATAGCGCATAAGATCAAGTTGTTTGTCTCCTTTACGGCAAGCATTATAGGCCACTCCCACTAAGCAGCAAGGTTTTATTGATGGAATATCAACTACGCACCACCCAATCGCCTTCGGGTGCCACTGTTTGCTTTGAAGCGAACTTTTTCTATATCGATCACACGGACCGCATCCAAATTAGAAAGCCTACGTATTGCTTCCTCTCAACACTGTGGTTCCTTTCTGCGAGTCTATCGATGGACATCCATTTACTACATCAACGATGCTGGCGGTGCTCTCTAACTCACTGACTAAGGCGACAGCCATCAATCCCTATATTGCTGGTCCCACGCATAGCGAAACACATATCCACCTAAGGAATCCAAAGGAAAACAAATCTAGTCGAAGGATGCAGTGGTGGGGAACAGCTGCCTTTAAACTGTTCATCAACACACGCAATTTCGACTTTATTGACGAGTTGTTCGCTGCCCCAGTGTAGCGCTGTTCACAAAATTGTCCCATACATCTACTATAGTGACCTCTAGTTTCTCACAGTTGTCTATATTTTGTAGGATGTCCTCTTAAAGTGCCATATCAAAGGTATCGAGGCTGCTTTTTCAGCTTACCGCGAAGAATTTCTCTTTCATTGCTCCTGATATTTTGCTGCTTGAACGCCTTCTTGAAGCAAGGGGGATGAGGGGAAGAGTTCCACAATAACCCAACCAATGCGTCCCTTCGGAAGCGACTTTTTCCGCATGGCTATCCAGCTCTTGTTCCGTTTCGTTCATATCCAATGGAACGCCGATATTTGTTTTGGCATCCACTCTCTCGTAATGTCCGAGGTTCTGTGTAAGCAACCAGCAATATAGTAAAGGTATAGACTTTTTAATCCAATTTTATTAATTAAGAAACTAAGGTTGAGTTTCGAAGGTTTTGAGGCAAGCCTCGCTAGGCATGCGCTTCATACACACAGTAAATAGGTGCAGCAACGGAGGCTGAGTTGTGTAGTTAATCGCAGAGTTATCTGCAAAAGCTTTTCCTTGGAGCAAGAATTTCGTTCCTTTATAAGACTTGTTTCGCTGCATTCGCTTCATTAAAACGTACGCAGTTAGGAGGCATATAACCTGATACTATACTCAACTTAATCAGTTCGATTGTTGATCACACCCATGTTCCCCATCTTTAAATGTTGTGCCACCATTCAGTAAAGCACTCAACCCTCTTCCACAAACAACCCAAGCTTTAGCTGCCGATGTTTTGTGCCTTTTGTTAAAGATGCCGCGGACAGATACAAAATAAATTTCAAGTTCCCAATTTTAAGTTGAAACATATGAAATAACTACTTCTGCTCTAGGTAACAAACCGACTTCTACATAACTTCGCTAAAATTTCGTTATATTCATACATTAAAACCACACCTTCAGGATTCTATATGTGAATCAACACAAAGCGATAAAATCCTGCTAATGGTTGCGTACTTCGCACGCATGATACACTGCACACTCTTGATGGAGAATTGCTTAAGGAAATTCGGTTATCATCTATCATCACTACATATTTAATCATGACAGAAATCGCATTTTCAAGGGAACCTGAGCTCGCACATGAGAGAAAAATATAAACCTAAGGAAGCATATTTTGGAGGGTATATTTCTGTAGCATTAGCAATTTCCAAACAAAATACCCAGTTTACTTATCAGAGTTGAGAGTGACGCAAAATAACGAGTAAAGCAAACAATTGTTTCCGGTTTCTTCATCACCCGGACTACCACATACATACTGAATACTGTATTGTAGGAGCAAGTAGGATTTTGAACTATGATCAACAACGCTCAAAAAGTGAACAATTAGTTATCAATACGCTGATCGCTTTCACCTTCACACATTCTATCGTTAAAAAGTCATTTAACTCACAGTTGATCAGGTCTCAAAAATGCGAGATGCCCGTGGGCAATGTACACAATATACTTCAAGAAAATCAAGTCCGTAAAACAATCCGGAATTAAACCATTGATTAGACCAAAACTAAAGGGCTCTCACAATGGGCGCCGGGTACGTAGGTGATAGTATGTGAGGTTTTTAGGCCAGATCAGCACTTCCTCTTTTATTTGCTGGCCAAAGAAGTTGCAACGCCTGAGCGAGCTAACTTTGGATGCAGAGATTTCGTCTCGTCAAGCTTATCCTTACCACATTCACAGTAGCTGGTAACCTTAGTGTTAATTTGTGCCCCAAGTGGGCTGGCAACTTATACAGAATTTTGTACGTATTACACTTGTCAACATGGTTCCCTGTACTCATCAAGTTGTTATTTATGGCAATCACATTAGTGCTGTCCTTTCGGTTTTCTTACAGTATATTTCTGCCATACGCCTGATGGTGATGACATCGATAACAATGGCTTGATTTACGTGTTCCACTTGCGCTTCTCTCGTATCCGAATAGCAGATTGTAACACCTTAACAAGCAAAAATTGAATGCAACTGTGTGGAAAGAAGGCTTGCAAAAAGTCCTTTTGGGAAACCGCTGATTCCCATCATAACAGCGACTATGGGTTCAATCTTGAACTATAAAGTTTGAAGTGGTGTCTCATGTCCCCCCGTCGACTTGGTAAAATTGTTATGTTGTGCTTAACACTTCCATGAAACCTCTAAGGTCTCTCTATTCTTTTTGCAGCTTTGGTTAAAGCAGCTAAGTCATAAATTGAAAATGTTTGTTAAATTCGTTGTCACTGTGTTTATTACTAAAGCATAAGCTAAAAACAATTGACCCTTGGCATCCAATCTTAACTTGCTAACATATGACCTCCAATTGCTAAAGCAGTCTTACTTGACGACAAAGTCAGAGGTGGAAGCAGCACTTTTGGTCAAGTTGTTGGCAGTCACCGTTCTGGGGCATTAAGGAAAGGAGCAATAATTCCCCATCACCCATTCAAAACACATGCTCATCAACCTCGGTTCAAAAATGCTTCATGCTGTAACCTTACGATTTAAAAAAAACAATCAGACTAATGGCAATTTGGCGTTGCCCACCAAAAAGAACGACGCATCACGACGCCTTTCGACCTCATTTGATCTCGGCCGCGGCCTCAGTGACCGAACTAACTAAGAGGCACTTTACTTTGAATCGCCGTCTACATTGAAACCACGCCTCGTCATCCAACCACCCAACGCGTACTTCACATTGACCCTTTAAACAATCAGATAGGCTTATTCAACATCTGTAGCCCAAAGGAGAACTCTGAGCAACGGCCATTAGATGGGGTTTTAGTCAACAATATTGGTTGCCTCAGTCCCTGCCTATAGCGTTGGAAATGTTGACAATCCCAACCCAATGAAGACCACTTTCAAGTTCTATTAACTGCCGGCAGGATACGAAATGCTGTATGCAGAAAATGGCTGTATGCTGGCTGCAGATACTCTAGTCAAGACGAATAATTTTCTCTTGCTATCTTGTCGAGCAACAGTGCTACTCTGCGGTGGGTACCTTTGTACACTCGGTACTAAATCCATAGTTCATTCCTAAACAGAAAGACGTGCAATTTTCTTTAATTTATAATTTAGGAAATATTCTGGTGTACAAACTAATATAGCAGCTTCAGCTACTCAAGCTCGAAAAGTTCTTGAAATGAAGAAGGAAATACGACTTAGCAAGCAGAAGGAAACACTTTATGGCGTCGGTACATGTTTACCCAGCTATCGCTACCCTCTACTGGTTAATCCGTTGTGATGAGTCGTTCATTTGGCATTCTTTTTCATCGAGCTACAAGTGCTCAAGTTTCTTACGCTGCAGCCTGTTAACCATGGTGGGGAGAGACTCGACGGCTCAACGCCTACTGGGAGGTGTACCTCAAGGTGTTAGACAAAAGGTGCTTTCAGTATTTGAGGGGCTACGTTTCCAAACTCCAACCGGGAAATTCCACACTACTCCCAAAAATAAGTGTCCAGCATCCCACATGAGGATTAGATAAATAATACTTTTAAGCGAAGCTTCACATTTTCTACAAAGATTCCCAAGCTCGGAGTACCTTTGGTGTTTACTGATATAATACCAGCTCATGTCATTTCGGCATCTTACATAGGGGTTTCAGCTAGATGTCAAAAAGCCTGTGCAATGACATAATACAGGGTCATTCTGACATTCTGAACTCAAAGGCGGTGCAATTCTTTTACTCTCTTTGGACTTTTAACTTCTGCTTTTTGCTCCGTAACCATCGCACCACCATGTCCGTGAGGACAAAGTTGCGTAACAACAGTGCCTGGCAAATGTTTTTAATAAACAACAAACTACTGTACAGTCATGTCAGTAGCCTGCGTAAAGTAAAACATGACATCCCCATGACTTCACACGACAGGCAAAAAGCTCCGATGAGGCAGCCGGTGCACTGTAACTAAAATAGGCCACGATTTTTGAACTCGGAACCAGGTTCCGTCATATGCGGTCGTCCAATTTACCGATTTTAGAGTTAACTTACGTGATTTGCAATCCAGTAGCCATACTAACGATGTTTTCTCTCATTGCGTGATCATAGCTCTTCGGAAGCCGGTAACATTAGCCCGAAAGCACTGAAGGCTGCGGCCACTAAGCTAGCCGAGCCCCTGTCGTGGTTCTTTCAAAGGCGCATCGATGAACAACAAATCCGTACTGTATGAAAGCAGGGCACCCCACCCCTATGTTACATGCGGTAGCCGATTTGTCCTTGCAAATTAACTACATGTGACTCTCTCTTGTGCTTTCGAAGATGATGCAAGCGGTCATCGCTGAGGCGTTAGCAGACTGCCTAGAAAAATGCAACGTTTTGGCAACGCAGCGGTAAACACCAGTCAGGCATTACCAACTTGCTGGTTGTGTGAGGTAACTGGACGGAATGGATGGGGCTGAAATCCAAGCCATCCACCTGGATATTTACACAGCCTTTGACCGCCCGGATCTTGCTTTACAGGAAACAGAGCTGTGGAATCTGGAATCCTGTCCCTGGGTGGATCTACATCTTCATTCGCCAAAGATAGCTTCAAGCGAATGATAGGCAATCACACTTTAATCTGGTTAAGGTGAATTGAACAATGAACATTGAACAATGAATTTGTACTGGTTAAGAAGCGTTACTTTACGAGTCCCGTTGGATACTTGGTGGGAATATCAACATAACAAGAATGATGATAATGATAGTAAAATAGTTAACACTTTAAATATGATAGCAAGGAGTTATTTTTTCATCCGCTGTAGTCCTGCGATCCTCTTAGATTCACAACAGCCACAGTTACCAACAAATAATTCCATGGTTAACTCTGGGTGTAGGATGGAGACTTATTGTTAAGTAACGAAGTGTAAGTGGATGAGTGCATCGTCCAACCGTCTTTTACATACTGTTAGTGTCGGTGCAGAGACCACCGATTATGGGAGAGCATTCCACGATTGACCGACACGAATGAAAAAGAAATTTCTGCGGCACTCCCTTCGACTGTATTGTTCTGCGGTTTTTAAATGGGTGGATTCTCAGGTTTGTATTGCTGCTGAGTTGCAGTAAGGGGCGGAACACATGATGTGGGTCTCGCAGAATAAAAGATGCCATAACCAGGTTGCCACATAATCTGCGATAGCTTCCAGTGAACACCCCCAATCGTTGCAGCCTCTCCTAGTAGGAAAGATTGCGCATTCCAATTACATTCTTAGATGTTTGACGTTGTGGCTGCTCCAGTGCATTAAGGTCGTGTTTCAGCCATGGATGCCAGGCTTGAATTGCATATTCGACATGGAGGCGAACATACTCACTGAGCATTTGTCGAAATATGGGGCTGTTTGTTTGTCCAAACGCCCGTCGCGACGGCCCGAGGTGTTGGTTCCCGGT